GAAGACTCCTGAGGAACTTGATAACAGTGTATAGAAGTTGTTTTAATGTCATTCTCAAGGTTAAGAAGCTTTTGAAGTTTCCTGCGTCTGCCTCTGCCACAGTGTGTCCAGCTAGCGAACCTTATGTGCTGTCCACTGTATGATGGGGAAGTGCCACTTTTAGAAGCAATCAGTTAATTGAGATTTTTGAACCACAGTTCCAAAAGGAAAGATCTTCCCGAGTTTTCCTTGTGTCTTTAATCATTAATTCATTGTAATATAACCATTATTAGCTAAATTTGGTTCAGTATGTAAAAAAAAAAATAATAGAAAAATACAAAGCCATTGGGGTGTTTTTGTTTGGTTTGGTTTGGTTGGTTGGTTTGGTTGGTTGGTTTGGTTTGGTTTGGTTTGGTTTGGTTTTCATTTTAGTCTAGCTCCTGGGACTGTAACTTGTTTAACCTTGCTTGTCCATAGCAGTCCTTCAAGGTTTATAGGATCTGTTTGTCTGCACAGCTTTATCTTCTTCAGGTCAGCCATTTTTCCTCCCTTGTTCCACTGAGAGCCCATCCTAATGCCCCCTATCAAGTTTTGAGTTAAGAAACAAGAACAGTACCATTCATCTCATCACTTCCTGTGCATGGAAATAATGACTTGATTTTTATCATTGGGTAAATTCAGTCTTCTTAGTTATTAAAGACTTTGGACATGTTTTATATATTATTTCTATCATGGATAAAGTTTTTAGTTAGGATTGGGTCATATTCAGAACTCTGGCATTACAGTAATGTAGAAACCTCTATAAAGTGATATATTTCATTTAACTATTTATAGATTGTTCAAGTCAGCACTTGCCCTTATTTCAGCCCTATTTCTGTGTTAATTATAGTATCCTGGGGACTTCTAATATCATGCATGCATGCCTCACCAGAATTTAGACATACTGCATTTCCGTGGATACACTGCCAAAGAAGGAAATTAGACCATTTAGCATGACTTTTCTTTGGTGCACCTCTTTTTAGTTCTCACAAATCACTCTTGGATAGCATTCTTTTAACAACCTTACCAAGATCCTGTCTCGCTCTTAACTTTGTAATGTGAGGACTCTACCTTCTCTTTTTCTAAATACAGGCATGGCATTTCCTCCTTCCATTTTTCTGGCACATCTTCCATTCTCCATGGTTCTTTGGAAAGCCCTCTAAAATAGTTCAGTTTTCTCGGGTCTTCAGAATATGATCAGTAAGTTGCAGTCGCTGAGGAAAGCACAGCCTACTTTCTCACTGTCTCTTAGCTATGTAAGTATTCATTGCTTTTTACCTTGTCAGTGAAAAATATGGATATTCTTTGACTTAAGTCAGTATGCTTTGAGCTTGGTGAAAAGAGGACTGAACTTGCCTTTAGCTCTACTTAGCTTGGTTTTCAACTCATTACTTGATCTATGATTATACGAACTATAAGAAAATGGACAGGAAAATTTACTATGCTGTGTTTCTGGTTGCTCCCATTGGTTATTGTCCTTGAGGACTGTTACAGTGAGAAGGGTATCTTCGTTCTTCACACTGTAGCTGTTTGAGATGACCTGCTTTGCATTCCAGTTATTGAAGAATCAAAACAAAACAGCTATGAGAACTTCTTGCTGACTTTCTGATATAGTGGTTTCCTTTATAGACATGTTTTTGAACCTCTTTCCATTGGCTTTACTATGTGTCATCATTTGCCTGTTGCCATACTTTGCCTTAATCTTATTCATATTTTGCTACATTGGTGAAGTGATGAACCATAACCACCTCCCACCTGCACCCCCTTACACCCTACATAGCATGTGAACAGAGTTGTGCTTGGAAGATGCTCATTACATTTTGTTAAGCCTAGGTAGTCAGGTCACCAATAAACACTACAAAATTATGACACATTCCTAATGACATAATAACATAATTCTGTGTCTTTCTTTAAACAGTATAACATCTACTGTTTATAATAAGAATAAACACTTCTGCTCCTTTTCTAAATGTTTTTCACTCACATTCTTTTTTTCTTATCTTTTCCTTCTGACATATTGGTTGTTTCATATTATACTCTTGACATTTAATTTGGGGGGGTGGTATTATTTGTTTCCCTGTTGCATAGCAACATTTTGTTCTTCACAACCATCTGCTGATTTTAAGGTGTACAGTATTTTTCAACGGCATACAGAGTACTTCCACATTTCTCCTTCTCTTCATTGCTAATCTACACCAGCCAAGTGTGGGCTTTTATTTCTTCAGTAGACCTGATATGGTATTATTTATTTATTTGTTTACTTATTTATTTATGTTATTTTTGGTCATGTTGAGACAATGTTTCCCCATAGCCCCAGCTGGCCTAGACCTTGCTGTGTAGACCAGGCTGGCCTTGATCTCACAGAATTTCACCTGCCTCTGCCTCCTGAGTGCTGGGACTAAAAGCATGCACCACCAGACTTGACTCTTTTGTATTTATTTATTTATTTATTTATTTATTTATTTATTTATTGACTGATATGATATCTTTGACTACTTGGTATACATAGAATTTCATTCAGTTAATATTTTGAATATGCTTTATATCTCAGTAAACATAAATGCTAAAGGTAAAGTTTGCAATAAAATTATTGCATTTTGTTGTATAAAAATTAGCAAGTCCTTTTTTAAAAATGTTTTGTTTATTTATTTTTAATGTGTATGAGTGTATTGCTTGCATGTATGTGAGTGCACCCATGTCATGCAATGCTGCAGAGGTCAGAAGAAGGCCTCAGATTCCTCTGGAACTGGAGTTAAGGATGTTTCGTAGCTGCCATGTGGGTGCTAGGAACCAAAGCTGGGTCCCGTGCCAGAGCAGTCAGTGCTCTTAACTGCTGAGCCATCTCTCCAGCCACCACCCACCCCCCTTTTTAAATCAGTGAAGAAAGTAGGACTTGAGGATTGGTGCTTTGCCCAGGGGACCCAGGTTTTGATCCTAGACTCACTTGCTCTAAGATAGAAGTGCTTACCAATCCTACTGGAAAAAATCCTCCTTGCAGATTAGGGTCTACCAGGAACTCATGCACTGCGAAACTGGGAGACAAAAAGCTTAGCTGCTAGAGTAGGCATGAGAAAGCCTCAAGAAGGTAGGAAGATGCATCAATACACTCATCTATGTCTGTGAATATGTCAAGAATAGAACAACTGGGGCTGCAGAGAGAGGCTAAGAATGTGTACTTGCAGAGGACCCAAGTTCAGTTCCCAGCACCCTTATCGGGTGGCTCACAACCACCTATTACTCTACCTCCAGAAGGGTCTGGTGCCTCTGGCCTCGGGGGCACATGCACATGTGTGCATGAATAAGATAAAATATATATTAATATTTTACTTTTATTTTATGTGTATAAGTGTATTGCCTGCATATGTGTAAGTGCACCTGTGTCGTGCAATGCCTGTGTAAGTCAGAAGAGGGCATCAGATCCCCTGGAACTGGAGTTTTGGATAGTTGTTAACTGCTATATGGTGCTGTGAATCAAACCTGGGTTCTCTGCACGAGCAATCAGTGCTCTTAACTGCTGAGCCATCATCTCTCCAGTCCCTGTTAAGATTCTTTGAGATATTCTGTATAAAATCCACAAAATTCAATAAAAACAAATTTTAAAAAATATTAAAACAACCACCATCAGAAACCCAGAAACTAGACCTTCTCTGCTAACCTGGAAGTCAGAAAGAAGGTGGAAGAAGATGGGTGCTTGGGTATGCATGTCTTCCCTTTTACTTACAGAATATTGGTTGGAAAAGAGCAGCTGGTATTGGAAGTACAGGGAATAGAGCAAAATTCTCAGATCAAATGATGAAATGAACACTGCAGAAGTTAATTTGTTAGAGATTGAAATAAAACTGCAGAGTAATATTTAGGGAAAATGATGAAGAATGTTGAGAAAACTAGTTCATGATGTTAAATGTCTCTGTGAGTATACATATTTAAACTGATAAGGTCTTTTGGGCATTAAAGGATATAGTAGAATTTCCCTAATGACAAGAATGAGACAGCAAAATGTGTCATCCTTCATTTGTATATTCATTTATTCAGCAGAGATTAATTGAGCACTAATTACATATACAAGGCATTATTCTTATCACATGGTATGATAAAATGTTCTCTCAAGGTGATAAAGAGAGTGACATAGTACACATCATTAAAATATTTAAATTTTACCTGAGCATTTTTTCCTGCTATTTTTCAAACTTGTAGAATGTACATATGAGTTTAGAAAGTCTTCTGGAAGGCACAGTACTTTGACGTTGTCTTAGGAAGCACCCTAACTCCTGTAGGAGCCTATTCTGTCACGGGCATGGTCTTCAACACCATCTCCTCAGCTTTGTCATATTTGAGTCATCACATTTCTTTAAGGAAACCAAGTCAGTCATAAGAGCTCTGCCAAGGGTGCCCTAGTTGCAGGTTGTTAAGACGTAGTGTTTCTTTTCAATCCTACAGAATTTAGCTGTTCATTTTTAAGAGTTACCAGAGCTTTAAAGTCTTGCTTACCTATTGCATAAGCCTGTCCTGTAACTGATAAGGTATTCTCTGTCAATTCATGTTTGTAGATGTCTTTTGTGTACATCTCTTAGAAAACTGGCTCTTATAGAAACCTATAATGTTCATCTTTTAGTTTCCTGATAAATCAATCACATTTACTTATTGGTTCTCCATTTAGAAAATTAAGTCATATAACCAGACTCTGACAACATACTATACTATCCTTTGTATATTTTTAATTAGTCTTCCCCCAGCCCTTTACATGTCAATTTCTACTATGATGTGAAATATTTATTGTTGTGGTAGTTGTTTCCTTTTTTAGTGTTGTAGCACTAGAGATGCTTTGGGCCCTAGATGTTACCTTTCCTAAGTGAAATAGCTGTGAGGGTTCTGGTCATGTGTAGAAGGCCACAGTAATTCTTAGGAACCATCCGCAGTAGGACTCATCAGCAAATCCTCAGAGGCACCCAGGAAGTGTTAACCCTGTGCCTCCTTGATTGCAGGAGGAATGCCCGCTCCTGAGCAAGCCTCACTGGTGGAGGAGGGGCAGCCACAGAACCACCAGGAAGCTGTCTCCACTGGGCCAGGCATGGAACCCGAGACCACAGCCACCACTATTCTAGCTTCCGTGAAGGAGCAGGTACATCCTTTTATTGAAATTTGTGGTGAATTATTTCTTCAATGCCTTTAAAAATTGATCTTTGGATGTGTTTTCAATTTGTCTAACGTCCTTGATGCCTTCACGTTTTCTAATTATAAGGTATTTACATCCCTGAGTACAGTGGGGTGACTGGCATGTAGAGCTGCTCCAGGTGCCAGTCAGAATCGGAACATGCAGGATACTTGTGCGTCTGCAAGTAAGGACAATCTCGATGGTGATTGGTGTCTGTCTCCCACATTGCAGAATGTGTGCATGCACGCAGAGCTCTGTAGGGTGTGTTTCACAATGCTGCCTTTCCATCAGGACTCTGGCAACTGAGACCTGCACTGTCTAGATATTTTGACCATTTTAACATAGGTATTGGGGTTGTCTCTGTGGTTTTTGGATAAAAGCTGTGTCTGTATGTTCGTCTGAATCCAAGTAATGTATTTTGTGAGTTAATGTGCTAAAACTTGTCACACTGTGCCAGTTTGCTTCAGTGTCATGTTTATGTTTATTTTTAAAGGCACTAATACATTGTCCTTTAAATCCAAGTAACCATCTAAATTAGGTCTTATCTCTAATGCTTAGAGAAATTGGAGTTCTGGAATTTAAAAGCTGAATAAGGTGAATGCAAATCTAAAGTTCTAGGAATAGATTTCTATCCCTGCCCTCCAAAAGAACTTATATGCCCCCCATGAAGATTATTCTGCTCAAATATTATATTAATTCTTTAAAAAATAATGATCAAGCTGGGCGTGGTGGCACTCACCTTTAATCCCAGCACTCGTGAGGCAGAAACAGGCAGATCTCTGAGAAGCCAGCCTAGTCTATATAGCAAGTTCCAAGCCAACTTGGGTTACAAGGAGATCCTGTATCCAAAAATTAAAATAAAAAAAAAAAATCTCATGATCAAACCACTGTATGCTTTAACTCAAAGGAAGCAAACTAATTGTCATATACTTTCCTAGGCTAGTTTTTAAAACTTAGTAGCTCACGTAACTGATAACAACAAAGAATGAAGAAATATTTAACATCTTACTTTACCATCTGCCATAACTTAAACTAGGAATGCCTCATGAAAGATTATGCAATATCTAACATTAAAGCTGTGTTTTTAAGAAAAATAATTTTAGAAATTATTCAAGTAACAAGATGTCAAAATATTTTTTCATTCATTACTGAAATGTGAAATTTTTAAACAGTCTACAAAAGTGAGAATTTAAAGGCTAAGACTGTAGAGCTCAGTAGTAGATAGCTTGCCTTGCATGCATAAATCCCTAGGTTCAATCCCTATTACTCCCCCCAAAAGTAAGAATTTTAGACACAGAAAATTATATTCAGATGGTTTTTATTTTTCACCATACTGCAGAATGTCTAGACTTCTGTGATCATTAGTGAGAAAAACATGGCTCTTCCTGTAGCACTCTGTAGGCGTTGATGTGACCTGAAGGGCTAGCTACAGGGTGAGAGCTATGCCATACTTGGGGTGCTTAGGTTTACTGTGTTCTGATGAAATGTGGTAGTACGTTGATCAAAATGCCCAGAACAGACTTAAAACTAGAAACCAAGTACAGCAAGCACAGCAGTAGAGAATTTGCATTTGTACCTTGAGACCAGATATCCTATGTGCTAAATAGGGAAACCTGTTAGGATTTTTGGCACTAGAAAATTCCTTGCTGACCTTAGATTACTTTAAATTGTTATCTTTTAGGGATACATTGAATCTGAAGGGGTATTTTGTGTGAGACAACAGGACCATTCCAGTTTCTCAAAGTATAGTATAGGATATTTATTAAAAGAATTGTCACATATCTCCCTGATAATTGAGTATATTAATACACATTTTCAGTTTCCATACTTAATTTACTTAATTTACTTTAAAAATTGTCAGTGCTCAGTATTCAGGTTTTCAGTCATTCAACCCAAAACTATATCTTTCTTTTGTACTGAGATAAATGCCTAGTTTGAAATTGCTAGCAATAGCTTCCATAGGATTTTTTAAAAAACTAGACAACATATAGTTGAGTTTAAAACTTATTGATAGTATCCTGAAATATGCCACTCCTTGTCATCAACCAAATGGGATATGACACAAGAAAGCTAAATATGAGAGGAAAAACTAATCACCTTATATGTTCAGTGTTAAAATACTAGTCAGAATGATTCTTATCTTGTATGTTACATTCAAGTGAAATACTTAATATTGATAATGCTGTGCATCAAAAGACTGATATTCTTAGGTGGGATACATAATTACTTAAAAAAAAAAAAAAAAAAAGAAAAAAAGCTTTACTTTCTTGCCCTGATCCTAGCCACGAATGATGTTGTCAGCTCTGCTGGTCTCAAAGGTTTGATATCATCAATACCTCATAAAGTTTTGCATTGAGATACAGAACAAAGAGAGACACTTTGAGTGTAGCTGGGTTAGATGGCTTTGGTTTCCATCTTGGCTTTTCTGATTATTGGGTGATCTTGAGTTGTTTTTTTTTTTTTTTAGCCTATCTGCCCCTTTATGTCCTCAGTAATAAAGATGAAAAGTTCCCATATGTCAAATGTGTGCCATAGTACTTGGCCCCTAGTGAGGGCTAATAGATTAATCATCATCAATTGCACATAAGAAAGTGCTCTTAGGAAGAGCCAGGGGTTCTACCTAATAGCATCATCATCATCTTTGCATGCAAAAACGTGGAATTAGGAAGAGCTGGTGTCCTGCTTTTCAGTGTATTTAGAGACTCAGTAACCTTCCTTTGGACATTTATATCAGAAGACAAGCAAACAAACAAAAAACCCTTTCTGAGCATACTTACACATGGCCTCAGACTTTCAAATTTTCACCATGCTAGCCTCACCAGCTAGAAGTTTTATTAGTGTATTATGAAGTATAGAGCCTGTGAAAATAAATGTTATTAGCTTGCTGGTATATTACAACCTCAAACATACTGTCAAGGCACTTGATGAGAGAATTGCACACTAAGACCTTTTAGCACTCTTTTGAACTTTTGAGAGGAAAAGTCTGGATGAATTCTTCTTCAGGAAAATAAATTCGAAGTCATAAAAATAGCTCACATGTCCTCCCCTTGGGGACTTCATGAGGTGGGAAGGCGGGAAATGGCAAGCAGCCCCTAGCAGTCTCAACAACTGTCTGTTAAATATCTAGACTTGGCTTTCAGGTGTCATAAAAATAGAGAAATCTTCCTCCACTGGCTGTGCTTCCCCTCGGGTTCTCCGGGGACAGATGCTGCCATTCTTGCTCCTTGGCATAGTGTTGGAATTCACTTTTTCCTTTTATGAACTGATAGTTTTTCACATTGATGTCAGGCATAGGTACAGAAAAAGTCCTGTGCTCAAAGGCTAGCTCCTTCATGAAGCCGTGACCTTCTAGCCTGGAATCCCATCTCTCCAGCCCCTCATACTTTACAGCACCACAGCAACAAGTCATCTGTGCTCCTTTGAACTTACATACTTGGCTCCCTAAGGATAGAGTCATGTTTTGTACATTTGTTACAGGTTCCTCTTCACCCAGCACTTTGACTGTATTAGTCTTGAAATAAATGTTCAAGGAGGAATTTAGCACTGTCAGGTTGTCTTGTTACCAACTGATGGCTTTGTGAAAATCATGAATCCTGTAGCCAAATTCATAGAGACATGGCAAGCAAGAGAATACAGATAGCACCTAGACAGCTTCTTACCCAGCTGTACATTCTTGTTCTTAAGACAATTTAAACTGCCTTATATCTATACTGATCTAGCTATTAAATCCAGTCTATACAAGTAACTGTGTAAATTTTTATTTTGTGTCAGTGCTGACATACTGACACAGATGGTATAGTTTTCATTTCACATGTGTTCAGATTAGCAAAAGTGTGGGTAAAGAAAGGATGTATTACATTTGTGGTGTCCACCCATATTGTATATACAACATAAAATGGGCAGCTGCCAAAGAAATGTTAAGGTTTCTGTTCTATAAGAAATAAAAGTTCATTCATAGTATAAGTAGTGAGGTCCTTAGACTTAAATCTGAAGTTATGGGAAGTATCAGTTGAGCTCCAACCACCAGTTGCCTATAACCAGGATCATCATTTGGCAGGTCCTGCTGTTTAATTCATCTGTCAATAAGAACCTAGAAGTCCAAGATGAATATAGAGATAGGCAAGGAGGGATATTTTGTACTCTGATAGTTTTAAGATCTCTGGCAAACTGTGTACTGATGAGTAACTATCTTAATGTTCTATGTGTAATCATTAGTTGAATAAATATGTCCAAATGTAGTGGGGTTTGACTCTACAAGAACATAGTGAAATGCTTGATCCAGCCTTGAAATGCACAGCAAGCTTTTGGCTGCAGAGGAATTGGAATTTGGTAAGGAATTGACTGCTTACCCTGAGCCTTGCTCCTATGCCTGCTTCCTGAATGTGCACTGTGCCCCTTTCACAGGCATTGGAGAGAGCAATGAGCAGAGGGCCATGTGCAGGGCATTCTCTACCAATTGGCAGAGTACATTGTACTTTTATCATAGATAGGCTATTATCTTTTGGTTTTAGAAATGTGCTTCAAAAAAACCATGTGACCAATTATGGGAAGGATTAACAAATTTCTTTGATTTACATAGGTTGCAAGACGACATGTTTTCTATAGAATGATACACACAGTACTGATTAGAATCATTCATCTTCTGTTGTAAATTGCCTCAATAATGCAAACTCTGATTGAACTTGACCACACTCCTCAGGGGCTCTGACTTTATTTATTTATTTATTTATTTATTTATTTATTTATTTATTATTTAATGATTTAAGAGACTTAGAATTCAGATTTAAGATCAGGGCCAATCTGGATGGCATGAGAGGGTAGGTAAAGATAGATATGATAAAACATGTTAAATTTTTGTACACTACTCTTATTCTGGTGGGTCTTAAATTAGATACTGTGTGTACTTGTCTTTGATGAGTGAGAATTACTATGTTCTTCATTTGTGGGCTTGTAAAGAGAATACCACCCTTCAAGATAATATTTTCTGGCTTTTGTGGAAATTAAAATTATACCTTCATTGTGCCATATTAATTTAAGTGATAGTTAAATATCAAAGAGTGAAATAAGAGCCAGAGATCTTTAAAATTTGAAGATTAAACAAGGAAATTTGGAACCCAACTGTGTTCTATTGATATTACTTCATTTTTACATGGATATCTTAGCATTAGTAATTACACAC